ATGGAATCAAATCACTCAAATTAGATATAGTAATAGTTGCAAGAAGCTATTTAATGATGTAAGGGCAATGTTTCATTTCTGAATTAAGTACTTAGACTTTCTTCCACATAACTATTTCTTTAAAATGCTCCTCAGATTTTTGTTTTATTTTAAAATTCAGATTCCTCAGCCTTTTTCTAGATCTACTGAATCAGAATAACCCAGGGAATGGCCATCTTATCCACAAGCTTCCCTGGATGATTTCTATGCTCTTTCTTGGGAGAACCTGGGCTGTACACGGTACTGAAGAGGAACCACGCCTACTTTACATAGGGAGGGCTGACTTCTGCTCAGCAACTCCAAAGCTCATGTAACTCCTCTGATGTTTTATACCAAAGGCATACTGGAACAATTTTTTGTCACAAAATGAATTTTTGAAAAACCCCAAAAGGTAGGAGTTTCTTCTGTTTAAGTTAAAAATTAGACTTCTGGTAATTCAACTTGTTGATACGTATTATTTTATGAGCATTACCTCGATGCTGCCACGAGAATGAAAGGTAGACTGTCACCAAGCCCAATGCTTTAACACACTGCAGAAGTGCTTGCACAGAGAAGATGCTCAGAAAACAACTTGGGGAGATTCAGGCACTTTACAAAAATATACGAGAAAGGATTTAGGGAAGGATTGAGGAAGAAATGGGGAGGAAAGGGCCAGAGGTAAGAGCTCTGAGGAGTAGGTAAACGGTGTCCATGAACATGAACAGAAAAATGAGAAGGAGGAACTGGTTTAGAGGAGAGCGTTGAGGCCAATTTCCAACATTGTATGTTTGAGCAGTAATACGACCTCTAATAGCTGATGGCATCAGAATGCTAGAGACTGAGATTTGGGAGTAAGAACTGATGTTGAGTCAACGAGAGGCAACAAGAGTTTCCAAGAAGAAAGTATGGAGTGAAAATAAAAGGGCTTCGGGACAGAAGTTGGACCTGAGTTTAAAGATAACAGAGAAAGAAAGAAAGGGTCTGTCCCTGTCTCCTGCCCCAATCTTACAGACATGCCAAAGACTTTCAAATCTCCAGAATGAAATCCCCCATGGACATAAGTTCCCCTATTTATCTGGGCCTTGGAATGCTTTTGAGTTAAAGACTAATAAACAATATAAACAAAAGAGAACCTTTGCTGTCCTATCATGGATAACATGTCCAATAATATGAAATGAGTAGTGGAGTAGTCATTTTATTTATTTCATGTTTATGGCACCAGAAGCAGATATACTGTCTAGTAAATTGATTTTGTTTATTGACATATTCGGCGAAACTAGTCTCCTAATTGTGCTGAATTTTCTGAAGGGCTTGGGCAAATCTGTTGGATTGAAATGTGAATAGCTTTAATATAGTGTCTGTCATTATAGATATCCAGCATCACATAAGGCTTACTAGAGCTAGTGACCTGAATAGGAGGAATTTAGAAATATGCTTTATTTTAAGGTCCTATATTGGAAGAACGCTCCTCCCTGATATGTAATGTAACAGAGCCACCTGCTGGTGAACTTACTTCACCGTGAGGCAACAATAGGCACTCTTCTGTAAGTATCTAGCCACTCAAACTGCCTCATACATTCTCGCAGGTAAAATACCCTTCCAACTCATTCCTTTTGTGTGTATGTAATGGATTGTCTGGATCTTAGATTTTCCTCCTTTCCTGATTAGGAAGGGGTGGTAAGGTAGGAACCAGTCATCAGCTGGTGTTGATCACCAGCATTCAAAGTGGGCTCTGGGGTCAGAACTCTGAACACAGAATTTAGGTGTGAGACTTGCCTGGGAGACTTTTTGGTATCAGCCAGGGCTCGGTGGAGCTGTGGCTTCTAGATGTGTGTTTGGCTCTACTTCTTAAGATCCTTGTTTTAGGATGTTACATAAAAAAGCCAAAGATGGGGGCACCCTGGTGGCTCAATCAGTTAAACATCCTTCTTCAGCTCAGGCCATGATCTCACGGTCAGTGAGTTTGAGCTCCACATCTGGCTCTGTGCTGACAGCTCAGAGCCTGGAGCCTGCTTCAGATTCTGTGTCTGCCTTGCTCTCTGCCCTTCCCTCACTCGCACTCTGTCTCTCTAAAATGAATAAACATTTAAAAATTGTTTAAAAAATAGCCAGAGATGGCCCCCATATATTGGCTCTTGGGTTGCTGATTTCTTTACAACAGGCTGGGACCCATGAACTCCAAAGCCTATGGAGACCAAAGCCAAATCTTCATATTTAAAACATATTCAGTCATTTTAAACACACCCAAAATAAGCATATTTTAAAACATTTAGAACTGGCCTGCTTTGCAAATGCCAAGAAATGGCATCCAGCATCTGCTAGCTGTGGATAAGATACATCTTGTAGCTCTTAAAGACTTCTACTCTGTGGCTGCCCTTTAGGGTTCCCTGACCAGAGACTCCCAGAGGGGCTGCTGAGCAGCCTCAACTAGACCTGGAAGCCCTCTCTCCCATGCACCTGTCCCCCAGGAGTTCCTTTAGCTTCCTACTTCCTGGTGGAAGCCGTGAAAGCCCCTGTGTTGCCATGACATCCCGATGGCCCCATACTGTGTCGGACTCCCCCCCACATGCAAACCTGTCAAAGTGTGGCCCAAATAAAACTTGCCGTGTGCTACTCCCACCTCACGGTCTTATCTTTCTTTTGGTCAGCCCCAGATGCCGTCAGATCATTATATTGGGCAAGAGAGGCCTTGCCTCCACAGGGAGAAAGAAATGAACTTCCAAAACTAAGGAAAATCAAGTTGTTTATATGGCCCTGGCATTATATATCCACTGTGTCTCCTCTTTGACTGCGCTGATTGCCCTTTAGAAAGCAACACTGTTTCTCAGATAGGAGCAAAGAGGGCTTGGAGGTACTCATGTCCCTAGCTGTCCCTTTCCAAAGTATCCTGGAGGACTGGCCCCAAAAGGGATGAAAGCTCACTGTGTGTAGGTGTTTTAAATATGCTGAGCCTTCCTCAGGGAAGAGTTGTCCCAGCTGTAGGCAAAATGGCTACACCTTAGTCTGACTCTGAGGCTGGTCAAGGACCCCTATGATCTTGACCTCACTAGGGGAGTACAGTAATGGAGAGACATTCCGGCGGAGTTGGGCCTGACGAAGGACACAGAAGGACTGAGCCTAAGGCCCAGGGGCTCAAGTATTGGAAGGTTATAAAAGCTTTACACACATTCCTGGTAATTCTTTCTCCCTCTGTATAGTGGAGTGTACGAAAATAGCACCTCCCCTTCCGGAGCTAGTTAAGGGTCCAACTGACTATTACCATCTTACTGCACCATTCAGCAGCTCTGATACCCTAGACAATTATTTAGCCTTTCTGTGCCTAAGTTGCATTGTCCGTTAGACAGAGATAATAACAGAACCCACTCCGTAGGTTTGTTGTGAGGAGTAAATGAGATCAGAGTTAATTTTTTTTCTAACAGAGGCAGTATAACATAACAGCAGTGAGTACGGACACTGGAGCCAGATTGGCTGGGGGTTTTTGTTTGTTTTAAATTTTTTAATGTTTATTTTTTAAGACAGAGACAGAGAATGAGCCGAGGTTGGGGTGGGGGGGCGGGACAGAGAGAGAGGAATACACAGAATGTGAAGCAGGCTCCAGGCTCTGGGCTGTCTGCACAGAGCCCAACACAGGACTCGAACTCATGAACCGTCAGATCATGACCTGAGCCGAAGAAGTCCATCGCTTAACCCGCTGAGCCACTCAGATGCCCCAATCTGGGTTTAAATTCCAACTTTATAGCTTACTTTTAGCGATGTGACCTTCTCTATGTCTCAATTTCCTCAACTTTACTGCCCCTCCCCCACTCATGCTCTCTCTCTCTGAACAATAAAAACATTAAAAAATGCTTTTAATGGGGATAATTATATTATCCATCTCATAGGGTTGTTTTATTTAATGTGTTAATAAATATAAAACATTTAAACATAAAACATTCTTATTAAGAACGTATTTTTATTATAAAATAAATAAGGCTCTTAGAACAGCTTCTGGTAAGTAGTAAGGATTCAACAAATGTTAAAACTCTTTTATTATTAGTCATGTAATTGCTCAGATCCATAAACTTTATTAATTATCCTACAACAGAGAAAGGCCTGGTTTCTGTTTTCTTCCTTTTATTATAAAATTTTACTTCTAACTTAAATTCTTGCTTTGTTAAATTCAATCTAGGAGAGCCAGCAGCATTGGACTTGAAAGAATATGTGCATTAATGGAAACTAAATGACTCAGAAATTAACTAGCTTGTAAACACCCTCTGTAGACTTCTTTTGCATCTCTCTTATGCCTGTGTAATGATGTTTGCAGTGATCCTGTGTTCCCAGCAGCTTTGCTCAGATAGTATTTATAGCTATAGGGAAACCAGGTTCTTCATGGACCTGGCTGGAAAAACAAAGCTGGCCTGGATACAATTCTCCAGCTCCTTGGAAGAGAAGTTGGGGGCTGCCATATCTTTATCTTGTTGGATTTTTTCCTTCTCAAAAAGGTGTGTGTGTGTGTGTGTGTGTGTGTGTCTGTGTGTGTCTGTGTGTGTCTGTGTGTGTCTGTGTGTGTGTCTGTGTGTGTTTGTGAGCAGGGGAGCGGCTGAGAGGGAGGGGGGGTGGAACAGAGAATCCCAGGCAGGCTCCTCCCTGTCAGAGCAGAGCCCAAAACAGGGCTTAATCCCAGGAACCTTTAGATCCTGACCTGAGCAGCAAAAGACGAGAACACTTAACTGACTAAGCCATCCAAGTGCCCCAGGATCTTTAAATCGTTGGTATAAACTCCAAAAACAGAGGAAAGGAGCCGAGCTAGCACCCCTAAACCGTGTTTTGTGGTCATGGTTGTTGAAACCGCCCCAGCACAGGGCGTCGGGCAGGCAGTGGGGAATTCGAACCTCCCTGCTGGGCGCACAGGTGGGGCCTGGCCAGCAGAGGGCGCGCAAGGCGCCGTCACCCAGCAGAGCCAACGGCCAGGCGCTAGGACTCTGGCCTTCCTGCTGCGGAGCCTGCCCCGGTCCCTGACGCTGCGCCTGCTGGGGGCGACTCTCCCTCTCGGACCAAGGGACCCGGCTCCTGGGCACCTCGGCCGGGTGAAGCCGGCACGGGCGGTGGGCCGGGATTGGAGGGCTGCGCCTCGGATTTCTGGGGAGACACTGCGGCATCAGGTAACCTAGAGGCAGCCTGCGCCCCGCGCTCACTCCCACCGAGCCCGGGCCCCCTGGCCACAGCACGCTCCTTTCTGCCCTGCGTTCTCGGAAGAAAAGGCGGGAAGGGAGGCGTGAGGAGTTGGCTGCAGCCCTGGAGGGAGACCCTAGGTGTAGGGGCCAGCATAGGAGAGTTGACACTTGGACTCTGGAAGTTTAGAGCCGCCAACTCTGCTTTTTCTCCGCCACGTGTCCTAGCTTCGCATTACCCTTTCCCCTCTCCAGAGAAAGTGCGGGCCTGGCACCAGCTTTTGCTCAACCCCTCCCTTGGAAAGTGCCTGCCTGCCTCCCTTGCCCTTGCCCTGTGCAGGTCCCTCCCTCCTGACCCGTTCCTAGTCTCTAATAGCTTGTCCATTCGGAGCCCGGATGTCTGCTTGTGGTCCATCCCCTGCTCTTCTTCCCTTTGAAAATCTTCCACAAAAATCGTTCAGAAGACTTTGGCAGCTGTGAATTTGAGGTTAGGAGTGGGGACAGTTAAAACTGATCTTTGTACCTGAATTGTTTAGGGCTTTCTTGTGCTTTTGGCCCCCTCTAAGATTTGATTTATTAAAATCTGAAGTAAAACTATGTCCTCCCTCTCCCCCTTTTTGAATCCTTTCATAAGGAGGAAATAAAGTGATGAGAAGAGGGTGGGGAATCAGATTCCCATTACTCAAGTCCTGACTATAGACATATATTAACATATGGTAATGGGGCCCAGGGGTATTTATGTATCTGTTTATTTTCATATGAATCATCTTGTGAAATACAATGAACATTTTGAGGAGATGTAAAAAATGTATTTTGACACTTGGGTATATCCTGGTTGCGGTGTCTGTATCATTTGATTTGAGGGCCCTTGTCTCTGCCATGAAATACCAAACCCTTGTCTGTCATTGTGCCCCCAATTCTACTACTGATGTTTATTTCTTTTTGTTTCCAGCCTTAATGTTCTTTAAGAATGCCCCTCAGGAATCAGAGTTACCAAGGGAATGATGACATCATAATGTGTTATTGAGGAAGAACCTGATCTGGGATTCAAGAAACATGGTCACTTCTGAAGGCCTACTTTCAGTACTTGGCTCTGGGCCCAGTTCTGCTGCTAATTGGCTCTGTGACCTTGACTGTTCAACTTATTTCATCTCTTGGAATCTTGTTTATCTCACTTCAGGAAAGCCAGAACTAATAACCTCCATCTCTTGGCCGATCAATGCTAAATTCGGTGGTCCATCTTGGTCCTCATCTTCCTTGACCTATCAGCAGTATTGGACCAAACTGATCACTCTCTCCTTAACATGCTTTTTTCTTGAAGTCTCTTAAAGTTTTCCTCCTTCCTCCCTGCCCACATCTTCTCAGTCTCCTTGACTGGCTCCTCTTCATCTCTTAAAGCGAGGGTTTGCAGTGTTCCGGGTCTCTTCTTGGACCCACTTACCTTTTAGGCACTCTCTTCTATGATATTTAACATCAATACCTTGATAGACACCACATGTATGCCTCCAACATGGACTTGTTCCTGCACACCTTTCCCTTATCCTTTGACACTGCTATGCCTAAGAAGGAAATATATATTCTTGTCATCTCAGTCTCTTACAAAACCCTGTGCACAAATTAAGCCACTTAACTAACTCACAGGTAATCCAAGTAATGATCTGGTGAGCAGCCATCAGATTGCCATTTCTTCAGCATGGTCCTGCCCTATGAATGCTATTTATTTTATTAAATTTTTTCTTTTTTTAACATCATATTTATTTTTGAAAGAGAGAGAGAACGGAGGAGGGGCAGAAAGCGAGGGAGACACAGAATCCGAGGCAGGCTCCAGGCTCTGAGCTGTCAGCACAGAGCCTGATGCAAGGCTCCAACTCACAAGCCGCTAGATCATGACCTGAGCTGAAGTTGGATGCCCAACCAACTGAGCCACCCAGGTGCCCCTAAAATAATTTTTTTATTAAAAAAACTTTTTTTTGACATTTATTCATTTTTGAGAGACAGATAGAACGTTAGCAGGGGAGGGGCAGAGAGAGAGACACACACAGAATCCGAAGCAGGCTCCAGGCTCTGAGCTGTCAGCGCAGAGCCCAATGCTTGGCCCAAACCCACAATCGGTGAGATCATGACCTGAGCTGAAGTCAGATGCTTAACTGACTTACCCACCCAGGTGCCCCTAAAATAATTTTTTTAATGTTTATTTATTTGTGTGTGTGTGTGTGAGAGAGAGAGAGAGAGAGAGGATGCAAATAGGGGAGGGGCAGGATGAGAGGGAGACAGAATCCAAAGCAGGCTCCAGGCTCTGAGCTGTTGGCACAGATCCCAATGCAGGGCTTGAACTCATGAACTGTGAGATCAAGACCAGAGCCAAAGTTGGATGCTTAACCAACTGAACCACCCAGTTGCTCCTAGTTCAATTTATTTTAGTTCAGCACACAATAACAGAACATAGAGATTTGAAGGGGAATATGACATGTCCTTGTGTTATAGTGTAATATAACTCAGTCTCTTCTGTTTTAGCACAGGCCAGTTTTACAACGTGTATAGAATACAAACCATGTAGGACAAGAAGTCAGTCAGTTCCTACTGCACTTAGAAGATAGCAAGAAGTCAGACAGGTAGCATACTAATTATTTTTTTCATCTTGAGTTACTTCTTCCTTGAAAATCCAAAGGTGTAGGCCATATTCTTGAGACTGGGTTAGCTCTGAGGCATCTGGGGCACAGAAGGTTGTGAGGTGGGGGGGATCCTGAGACCCAGGCCCAGTTCTGTATTCTTGCCATTTAAATTTAAGAATTATAGACTATGAGGCTGCTAGATAAAGGCAGGCACCTTCAGAGCTTTCCAGAGAGTTCCTAAGCAGTCCTGCTTTAGTTGTGATGTACCCTTTCTTGTTTGCAACCCTCTTCTCAGTAATCTTCAAGCTCAGAATGACTTTAAGAATCCAGGTGATCTGTTGAGCTTTTCCTAGGTCCACACCCCCCAATCTCGCAGTCCCGCCTCCCCAGAAGCCCCCCCACCCCCACCCCGTAAGCCCCGCCTGAACGAGGTTGGATTCTTGAGTGGATGAGCAAGGTGGACCACGTGGTCATGAGGACATGATCCCAACGTGTGAGGTCTCAACAAAGGTAGAGTTGTCCTAGAGGTGCAGTGTGCTTGACTTACATTTGAAGAAGGGATTTCTTCATTGAAGTTGGCTGTGGCCAAGAGATGTCTTTACTTTCCAATGAAGTATAAAGGCCTTGTAAGCCGTCACAGAACTGGACCAGGTTTTACTCATCTTTGCCTGGCACAACATATCAGTTATTTATAAATTGTACTTTGGTTTATTCCTCAGGAATATTTATTTATCAGGAATTCTGGAACATCACCATAATTTGAGCTATTTTAGTTTGACATTGACTCATCAATAAATATTTCTTGAGCACTGTGCTGGGCCTTGAGAATACAAAACAGAATACTACCTATTTCCTAACCCAAAATAATTTCTATTAGTCTATATTTATCTCCAGACTTACACCAAATCTAAAATGTTGTTTACCTTAGTTTGAAAAACCCAAGGATCTCAACAAGGAATGAGAACTTTTCTTTTTTTCCTTTTTTCTTTTTTTGTAAATATAAACCATAGAAAAACAACTTAAGATTATTATTTCTATCTTCTTATCTCTACTTTTTAAAAAATATTTTTATTTATTTTTGAGAGAGAGATAGAGACAGCATGAGCAGGGGAGGGTCAGAGAGAGAGGGAGACACAGAATCTGAAACAGGCTTCAGGCTCTGAGCTAGCTGTCACCACAGAGCCTGACGTGGGGCTCGAACCCACGAACTGTGAGATCATGACCTGATCTGAAGTTGGATGATTAACCGACTGAACCACCCAGGCACCCCTTTACTTCTTTTTTAAAGTCCTGATTAGCAGTGTACAATTAAGTTAATTCACTTAATTGTTCAGTAGACCTCAGGCTCACAGTTTGAGAAGGCAAAATTACATCAAACTCTGACCCCCCACAGAGGATGACTTCAGTGAGGACATCTTGCAGCCCTTGGGAGAGCGTCATCCAGCGAGGCCCCTGCTGCTTCGGCATCCTTTTACCTTCTCTTTGGGCTTTGGGCTGCTTGCAGGTTCCCATCACTGCAAGGAAAGCAGACTGACAGCCAGTTCTGCTCCTTCTGGAAATTTTCCACTGTGTCTCATACTTGTTCAGATGACTTTTCTCAAGAAAGCAGATTTAACGAACCACTCTCTTTGTTCCTGGACTATTGAAACCCTGGCAGATATGATTTAAGAATCTGAATGAAGAAACATTTAAAAGTACGTGACACTGATTTGCAATGCAGGGTTCATCTCCGTCTTGGATTTTACATTGTCTCCGAAGCGTACGGTGCTCATTTGAGTTATCCATCCATCTGCCACAAAACAGGCTTTGTCTGATTTTTGTGGTATCCATTTGTTCTTGTCTTCCTTATCTCTCTTACTGCAATATTCCCACGATCACAAATACAACCACTTGTACCCTGTTTGGATTTCATACTTTTACTAAACACCTTGACATGAAATCACAGGGTGAGATTTTTCTTCCTTCTCTGAAATCACTGATGAAAAGATTCTGTTCTGTGTGCAATCTATAGAATGGCTCAGTTGGAGGCGGGATGCACAGTGTTTCAGTGGATGGTACAGCTCCTCATCTCAAAGCAGTTGCTGGTGACTTTTCTGAGCTCAAGTGTCCTGGAGAAATCACATAGAATTAATTATAAGACTGTTTATCTTTCATCAATTTCTCTTTTATTTTAGTGAGTTTTCCTTATGTATATCACATCACATCTGTCTACTCTTTCATAATTGTAAATACCATCCATCTCTCTTGCATTATACAGGGGAAAAAAGTATAAATGACTAAGAATTATTTCTTATTCTTCTTATTTCTTATTCTTAATTAAGAATGAATTCTTAATTACTCTATTTATTTTACGTCTTTACACAAGGTTTTGGTGTGCCAAGTTCTCTGATCTAGTGGAACAGGTTTCCATCTGTGAAAAACCTTACAAGCCTTTACAAATTTCCTACAATCTTAGGAATTTCAACATGACAGAATAAAGGATTCTATGGCAGTTAATAAGAAATTAGAGATTTACATAATCCTTGGGTATGAAAAATGAGAGATGTGATGTGAAGAAACCTTTAGAACAAGAGCTGTTTCGGAATGTACTTTCTTACTCGTTCAAACATGAATTCAGTCAGCTTTTGCTAGGTGCTCATTAAGTACAGTGCTGGAGACTAGGAACACCACGTTAAGACAAAGCCCCTACCTTTAAACATACCACTGCTTAGGAGGACAAAATATTTTCAGGTTGTATTTTTCTTTAGATTTTTATGTCTCTTGTTTTGTACTTTGGGAATTTGCCTTTGAAGAGATTTTTAATAAGGGGGTATATTATTTTAGAATGAAGGAAGGAGGAAAACGATAGGCTTGGTAAGAGCAACTTTCTCTTTGACATCTCATATTTACATCATACTGAAAGCTGTGAGGGGCGGCGTTGATTTTCACCTAAACTGATTATGAGCTTAGAATAGCAGAGGATTTGACACCTGATGGAGAGCACTGGGAAGTGGGAAAATCTTCTGCTACTGCTGTCGATACTTTTCTGTTTTCTTGTGTTTTCTGTTACCCTATAATAATTTACTTTTCCTTCAGTTAGCATGGTTAAGTATGTAGATTATCACTCCAATATGACAGTGCTTGAATGTAAAGTACAATGACAAAAACAAAGTAAACACACACACACACACAAACACACAGCTCATTAAAGGAGTTGACTCTTGATTTCAGCTCAGGTCAAGATCTCACAGTTTTGTAAGTTCCAGCCCCACATTGGGCTCTGCTGACAGCACAGAGCCTGCTTGGGATTCTCCCTCTCTCTCTGTCTCTCTTTCTGCCCTTCTCCCACTTGCACTCACTCTGTCTCTCCCAAAATAAATAAACTTAAAAAAATAAACTCATTAAGATGTAAAGGGTTTCCATGGGTTTTCACAGATTCTGTATTTGGATAATATAAAAGAAATAAGATTTTACCCATACACTTTTCAATTTTATTTACATTATTGTTAAATTTTAAAAAGTAAATTATACTTTGTGCTTTACTTCTAGTTGTTCAGCTGCTATATGGAAAGAAGCTGGATTATTTGGTTTTCTGTTTTCTCTCAGAAATAACTATATGCTTGCTGACCACTGTAAAAGTAAAATCATCTGTAGTCAGTTTAATAAGCCTGTAACCATACTTTACAGGATAATTACACAAGACAATGTTTCTATAAGTGACTTATTTTAAGACTTTACAGGGTTAGGTCTTCTCATTGTTAGAAAATAATTTAAGTCGTTTTCTTATTAACTGTCACCTGAGTCAGAAATATCTTAAGAAATACAGCTGTGGAAGAGCTTTGTTCACAAAGATAGATAATGTAGCCTCATTTAAAACATACACAAAAGGGGCGCCTGGGTGGCTTAGTCGGTTAAGGGTCCGACTTTCGCTTAGGTCATGATCTCGCGGTTCGTGGGTTCGAGGCCCGCGTCGGGCTCTGTGCTGACAGCCAGCTCAGAGCCTGGAGCCTGTTTCAGTCTGTGACTCCCTCTCTCTCTGACCTTCCCTTGCTCACGCTGTTTCTCTCTCTCTCCTAGAAATAAATAAAACATTAAAAAAATAAAAAAAACATACACAAAAAACCAAAGGCTTAAATGCCCAACAATAAAGAAATGGTTAAATAAATGATAAGAGATCCAAGCAACAAAATCTTATGTAGGAAGTTATATTTATGAAAATTATATATATATATATACAGACATATATATATACTCACACAAGTAAATTATACTTAAGGAATGCTTTACTCACAATGCTATCATATACAGTATGTGGTAAATGTGAAATATTAATTAGAACCACTGGATTTGATGTTCTTATTTTTATTTATTTATTTTTTTGAAATGCCCTCCCTTTTTTAAAAAGTTTATTTATTTATTTTGAGGGGGAGAGAGAGAGGGAGAGAGAGAAAGGGAACCAGTGGGAGAGGGGGAGGGGGAAGTGGGACACAGGATCCAAAGTGGGCTTTGTGCTGACAACAGAGAGCCTGATGTGGAGCTTGAACTCACAAATTGTGAGATCATGACCTGAGCCGAAGTTGGATGCTTAACCAACTGAACCACCCAGGCACCCCTTGATTTTCTTATTTTAATATTTAAGGCCTGGAAATTGGCCAAAAGCAGGGAATACCCCAGCAGAAATTCTATTTAGACAAGAAAACCATTTAAATTATTCAGCTTGTTGGAGAATAGCAAAAGTCTTGCTGTAGCTATGTCATCAACTTTGTGATAGTTTATGTAAATAGCTACTTTTATTTGGTAGAATTGATTTAAAAAATAAAGCCACAGAACAAAACTGATGATCTAATTTGTGCTTTAAACTATAGTTTGATGGCAAATGAGGTAGTCTGGAATAACTTCATCACCTGTGATAACTCTTAACCCAATCTGCCCTTTTGGTTTCCTGCATTTATTTCCATATCTCTCAATTTAGGAAACACCATTGGCTTATCCTGAGAATTAGTGTAAAATTTCAGTGACGAATGCTCAGGGCATGGATAGTTTGGGAATCAGAGGTTTTATTACAATTTTGGACCAAAAACTGCTAAGAGATCAGAAAGAGAAGTGATTAGTTTGTTTGATCTTTATCACTTTGGGGATAATGAAAGTAAAGTTTTTTTGGAACATAATGCTAGACCTTTCCACTGATTGATTATATTTTCAAATTCACACGGGATTAGTTCTTTTCAAAAAACATAAATATTGCTATTAATATTAAGATAACCTTGTAAGTAATCAAAAGACTGATTAGTCTGAACTGTTAGCTTTGAGTTAACTCGATGCATTTTATAGTGGATAACATATTTGTTTTATATTTTAGAACTTGAGCTGTGTTCCCAATTTCATACAGATGCCAAGGCTTCATATATGAAGGACATTCACTAAAAAGGTAATTTGAAAAATATCATTAAATCGCCTTAATTTCCTATTTGGCTGATAAAAAAAAATCGCCTTAATTTCCTGTATTCAGCAGCATATCAAAATTTAAGTTTGAGAAGGTATATAGATTTATCAATATATTCCTATATCTATATATCTTTATTTACTACCTGACTGATGTAGTCGCTACAAAGCAAACAGTTACATAACTCAACATTTGATAGATCCTTACAAGCCACCTGGATGTGGTTCTGAAGAAAGAAGGTAGTTGTCGTTAGATGAAAGACTACTTTAAAATATAGCCTCTGTTAACCCACCAGCATATCTGGGTTGATTTCCAGTCAAGGAGTTAAAATTGCACTGGCTCTTTGCTCTCCTCACCCAGAGTCTTCTGTGGTACAGGGCAAATCTTATTACAACATTTTCTTGGAGTCAGGATAAAATTTGTGGCTGTGGAACCATGAAAGTCGCTGACCATACTTGAACCAAATCCAAGACTCTGGCCTCCTTTTCATAGTGCTGTGATTTATTGGGCTAACCAAGAAAGCCTTTTGCAGTTGGATGCTAGGTAACTTGAAACAACATTACTGAATATCTCTTTTTTAAGTATTGAAAATGTGTCTCCAATTAAAAAGGATAAATCCCTTAGAATTTGTTATTGTTCAAGATACTTAAGCTGAGGAGCTTTGAATAATTAATAGTCTGCATGTAGTTATTACATATACTTTAGTTTTATTGTTTATACATTCCAGAATACTTGAAGTTAGGAGGGTCTGTATTTTAAAATATGATTATTATCCACTAGGAGGAGCTATATCCTCTTTTAAAAAAATTAGTTACCCAGAGAAAGAGTAAAGCTAAAAAGAAAGCAAGGTGTCAAGACTTACCAAAACTTCTTATGAACCCCAGGTATTGGTGATAAATTGGTTACTTGTGTATTATTTTTCACTTTGGAATCATGAAATGCCAACCAATTCACAAAAGTTGATACTGTCTTGCAGGCATAGAGCTAAACATCGTAGGGCAAACAAGGTTCAAGACATTAGTGCTTCTTAGATGAGAGAGCAGAAATATAAAGGTTTAGGGGAAGGAGTTTCCTTCAGTAGAAGTAACAGTTGAAGCTAGGACTGGGAAGGATTTCTCTAAGAGGGGTGGGAATGGATATGAAGAAGAATCAGGGTAAGTTAGGAAAGAGAAGGAGGAAAGGTAGTGGGGGCAACAGATGGGGGGAGGGGAAAGGGTGAGCTGTTGAAGAGGTCAGGGAAGAACCTAGATAGTGCTGTCACCGGAACCCAGGGAGGGGGACTTTGAAGCGTGTGTTAGTGGAGTTGGGGAGGGGAGCGGGGGTGAGTTCAGATGGACCTGAGTAGGTAGAGGAGAGTGAAAACAGGAAAAAAAAAAAAAAGTGTTGTGCTTGGTTGGAAAGAGGACTAGTGGGCATAAGTTTTAATTACATCACCTAATAATCATTCTTTGGCCAGTTAATAGAAGTGGTTTAGCTGATCGCTCAAGGCTTTGCAGATACTGTCTGATGACCCTTGTCACTAACCACAAAACACAAATCCATACAGAGTGTGACACCACAGATGACAGCAGACAAGGAGTGGAAAGACAGGGTCTTCATTCTGCATGTGTCACTATCAAGGTGAATGACCCCAAACAAGTAACTTAACCTTTGTGCAGTAGTACAAAAATAAGAGCCCCTTCTTTACAAGAAGGATACAGACGAATAAAAACACACAATCTAGGGGCACCTGGGTGGCTCAGTCAGTTAAGTGACTGCCTCTTGATTTTGGCTCACGTCATGATCTCCTGGTCGACAGATTGAGTCCCACATGGGGCTTCATGCTGGGCATGAAGCTGCTTAAGATTCTCTCTCTCCCTCTTCCACTGCCCCCACAAAATAATAAAAATTTAAAAAATAAAAAATACACCTTCATAGAAATAAGACAGTCCTCAAAGTTGTAATCCACAGTAGTGGTCACAGATCATAACTCTGAACCCGTGCAGACAGTACATTTAACAGGCCCACGTGGGAAATACCAATGACTCCAGGAAGATAAATCTAATAATTAGCGGATCTGTTCTGTTCACACTCAAATAGTCAACTGATTTTGTGTGTGTGTCCCTGACAGCTAGTACTGTTATTACAAGTATCCAGGGACCTGCAAATATGTTTGTATTTCACAAGTGGGATTTACATCTTTCACATTCCATAGGGAGCCAAACCCAGATGGTACGGAGGAAATGGCGCCAGTAAAAAACGTGATGTTTGCCTGAAACGTGTGGCTTTTCAAACTGAAGGATTAATAAGAGGACTTTGTTTATTTCATTTCCCTTCCTGTTGTGGCACAGAATGTATTACCTGCAGCAAAGCCCATCAGCTGGAACCAGAATGTTGGTAAGAATAGAAAGGTAGGTACCGCCTTGTACTAAATAACCTCCTGTTTGTGAGAAGCAGTTTCAGTGTAAACCTCCATGTCCAAAGAAGGGTCCAAAGTCATTTTAAACAGTGCCTTCAGTGAATCAATAGATCTTCAATACTACTTCAATAGTTTATAAACATACTACTAAAAAAGTAACTGCCATGAATGAATTTGCTGCCATTACTATTCTTTGATATATATGTTTAATTTTTTTTGAAGTTTATTTATTTATTTTGAGAGACTGTGTGTGTGTGACCAGAGGAGGGTCAGAGAGAGAAGGAGAGAGAGAATCCCAGCCAGGCTCTGTACTTTCAACATGGAGCTTGATGTGGGGCTCGAATTCACGAACCATGAGATCATGACCTGAGCCGAAACCGAGAGTCAGACGACTAACTGACTTAGCCACGCAGGTGCCCCAAATTTGTTGATATATTTTAAATGTGATGTAACATTAGCATGTGGCAGACTTTAGCATACAGGATCCCAGTGTGGTGACAAATATACCAAATCTTATCCAGAAGAATTCCACTATAGACCTGTTTTTCTCTTATGGAAAGGAAAATATCCCTAAGGAGATTTTAATTTGTTTGTTTATAGAAAACAAAAATGGAAACAGTAATACCTTGAGAAGCAGGTCCCTGCCAGGTAATATCAAAGTTTGACCTTTATAGCCTAAACCCCACCTGTTCCCTGTTGTAATAGTAACTGAACCACAATATAAAATATGCTTGTCATATTCCTTGCTCGCTCTCTGTTTCTCTCTCAAAAATAATAATCATTTAAAAAAATTTTTTTAAAAAGGAAGCATCTGGGTGGCTCAGTTGGTTAAGGTGGCCAACTTCAGCTCAGGTCGTGATCTCATGGTCTGCAAGTTCAAGCCCTGCGTTGGGCTCTGTGCTGACATCTCTGAACCTGGAGCCTGCTTCAAATTCTGTCTCCCTCTCTCTCTGCCCCTCCCCTGCTTACTCTCTGTCTCTCTCTCTCTCAAAAATATTGAACATTAAAACATTTTTTTAAATATACTTCTCATAATATGTAATCTGTTCTTATATATTACATGTATCTTTGGTAGGTCTCTTCTTTTATGTTCTGTATTTGTCCCTCCTTCCCCTCTCCCTTCCATCCTACCTTCCTTTGGCATGTAGTTGGACACTTGTGGCTTTAAAGCATTGGTAAAGCCTTTCTCCCAAGGTGCCCAGTAATAGCAGAAACTCTTAAGAGTATCAAAAGGACTTTCTCAAGAACCACCATAGTTTTAACTTCCTAGGTTTAGAGTAAAGGAAGCAGAAATTCTCTGACAACCATAGCTACCTACAGTAGTGACCCCTTGGTATATCTAAACCAATAGCAGGACAGAAAAAGGAATTCAACTTTAACCTTTGATGGTTAAAGAGTGTTGGTTGTAAAAGATTCGAAGGGTGGGACCTCCATGTACTTCATATTTCAGTTGCTTTCTTGAGTGTGACAAGGTAAAGGTATGTGCCATGGGCTGGGGACACACAGGTAAGTAAACATCTGCTCCAGCCCTGGAGGAACTGATCATGTAGCTAGAAGGGAAATGTACTGTGATCTTCTGTCTGCCTCTCCCGGCACCATGAGTTCCTTGTGAGGCGGAGATCTTTCTTCTTGCTTCTGAATGCCTTGTGCCTGTCACAGGGCCTATCCACAGAAGGCTCACAATAAACAGATCCTGATCAAAATAACTAACTGGAGTGATTTAGGCTGAGAAACCAAATGTAGCTTTTGGAGTAACAAACACTTGGCTTGTAGAAAGCCTCCAGTCATTTTTCAGTGCCATTCAGTGTAACCTAACACATATGCCCTACGTATCTCTCTCTCTCTGCTTAACCACAGATGTTACAAAGGCTAGTGGAAATTCTTCCTCTTGCACCGCCCCTGAATTCATGCAGCACCTAATTCATTCCTGGGTCACTTGGTTCACAGCTAGATGACATAACCAAACACACTCCCTCCACCTGTGTCCCTGGCTTCTGGTCACAGCCTCACTGTAGTTGTGCAGTACATGTTGAGCCTAATGAAAGATGGTGGGGGGATCATGGAAATATGATGTCAAGAGAGGCTGTAAAAATGAAGTAAGGCAGGAATAGGATTGAGCCAAGAGCAGACTAGCAGGTGCTTGTGAGAGTAACAGTGAACTTCATTTTACATATAGGAGCTCCTTCAAAGCAGTAGTGATGAGCTAATCAATAAAATGGCACTTGAAATAAGTGGACATGTTAGTTCTCATAAACAGTTTAATTTTTTTTAAGGAAGGGAGGAAGGAAGAAATCATAAGGAAACCTTTGTGTCTCAGCCTAGGGTTCATTGTTGGGGAAGAGCATCTCCCCTGAGACCCTGTGATGATAGACCTGCCTTCACACAAGTTGGTGTTCAAATGCATACTGCTTTCGTGGTTGGGGAAAATTATAGTCCGAGTAATCTATCTGGTAATTTATGTAGAGGAGTTCATGGTTGCTAATATCACCAAGGCATCTGGCAGGAAGAAAAATCCAAATTCTAGATGTCTCCTTAAAGGAGGCTGCTCCACAGATTAAGCCTTGTCAAACTTAAAAGGAGTCCAAAATTTCAAAATCAAAACATATGTAATAATGTCTAAAGAATTCATAAATTGGAATGATTCTGTGCAGAATGGAATAAGCGTGTTAAAAATGTTTAAAGAAATAAAAATGAAATAAATACCTGAGCAAGGAACAAGAAAGATTCAGAGAAGGTCTAGATGGATTTGAATAAAAACCAAATGAACTTCTATTAATTAAATGTATAATCACTGAAATAAAAACTCAGTGGATCAATTAAACAGTAGGCTAGATACAATTAATGGAAGACTGAAGAACTAGAGAATGGATCTGGGGGGGCACCTGAGTGACTCAGTCGGTTAAGCATCCGACATCAGCTCAGGTCATGATCTCACGGTTTGTGAGTTCGAGCCCTGCATCGGGCTCTTATGCTGACAGCTCGGAACCTGGAGCGTGCTTTGGATTCTGTCTCCCTCTCTCTGCACCCCTCACCCCCACTCATGCTCTGTCTCTCAAAAATAAATACATTAAAAAAAAAAAAAGAAAGAAAGAAAATGGATCTTGGAAAATCATCCAAAATGCAGCCCAAGGAAAAGAGATAGAAAATGAGAGAGAAGTTAGAGATATGTGAAAAGAGTTATAAGGTTTTACCTTCTATCCAGGTAAGAGCTGTAGAAGACGGGAACATAAAGAATGGGGAGAAGAATGTCCAAAGAGCATTTTTCAGAGTTGAGAAGCATATATATCCACAGAATCAAGGAGAATCACTCCCAAACAGATTAAACAAAGAGAAATCCATACCAGATATATCACAGTGCAACTCTCTAAAAACCCAAAACTAAGATTGTAAGAGCACATAGGGGAAAAGACAACACACAAAGGTCAACAATTAGACTGATAGCAAACCTCTCAGTAATAAAATTGGATGCCAGAGATTTGTGATAGTATCCATGAGGTTTATAAATGAATGCCTTTCTAGAGATTTGTGTCCAGATACACCAGCATTATAGAGTAAACGTAATGATACAATACTGGATGAACAGACCTATAGGAAAAGATAAGTTAAAAAAAAGGTAAAGGATGTATTTAGGAAAGTGTTTTTATTATTTTATGCCTGGAATTACTTGAGACATATTTGAATAATCGAACAAAATGATACATTGGCAGTTGTTTTGTTTTGTTTGTTTGTTTTAATCAAAAGCTTTAATCTGACCTGGATTAAAATAACCATGTCCTGTTTCCCTAAAAGCAGACTAATAAGCAGGGTCCTGGACCGTGGTGCTGATATTCTGATGGAGTGTTGTGTTTATGACCTTTGTTTTACTTACTAATACACAGTTAATTTTCTTTGGCCATTTAGGAAAAAAAGTAAAGGATGTATTTAGGAGAGTGGCCATTATAGAATGTGCCAGTTTGTTAACTTTAAAATATTAAAAGCAGCTTGAAATAAATAAATTGCTTTTCCTGTTTGAGGTTTAATAAGGTCTAGTGTACCAAAAGGCACACAATGAATTTTTTTAATGTTTATTTACTTATTTTGAGAGGGGTGAGGAGGGGCAGAGAGAGAGAATCCCAAGCAGGCTCCACGCTGTGAGTGCAGAGCCCAACTTGGAGCTCGATCTCACAAACCATGAGACCATGACCTGAAATGAAACCGAGAGTTGGACACCTAACCAACTGAAGAACCATCCAGGTGCCCCCCTACAATGACTTTTAAATTTCATTCCATAGAACTGTGATGTTCCATTTAAAAAAAAAAGGGGTGGGATATTTTGTTGTCGTTAAGTAAATTATTCAGAAATGACAATATGAAACTGATTTATAAACTGATTATGGTTGGTATAACTTCTGTAATAACCCTCAGGGTTCATATTCAATACTTTGGAATCCTTTAGAATTTTAAGTTAATTAGAAAAGCCTTTGCAGTTTGAGGACCCTTCTGCATGTTTGGGGACTAGTTAGCCCATATTAATTCTTCTAGATAGTCATTTGTTCTAAAATTGGGTGGATTAACCACCTAAAATTGGGTGGTCAAATTCCCAACTTTTTGTGTAACTCTAATTTCTTAGGAACCTGAGGTTCTCTGTAGTAATATATTCTAAAGTCAAATCAGGCTTCTCAAGGGTAGTGAAGTCTCTCTACATTTGGAGAGAGAATGAAGATACTTGTGTGATACAGACATATAAGGAAGGTCCATATTGAAGGCTTCTTGGATCCCCCTCCTATTCACCCATTCAGACCAAACCCAGTGCACAGCTTTGCCCTTATGAAGTCATGTTCTGTAGTTTCAAGTCTGCACTCTGCCATGAGAGGCTGCTTCTAAAGCCAGATTCTCTCATACTGATCCTCAAATCCACATCCCCTTTGGGGCTTAGTTCTTCCCCTAGTAGACTCCACCTTCTCTTCCTTTTCAAATATGTTTCTAGCTCTTATTGAAATTGACCTATATTATCATCTTTCCTTCCTCCCACTCATAAAGTAGTGTCCTTTGTAATCTTGGTTTTGCAAGTATTTTAAGCAAATTTTATCCTATGGGTACTCAAGAGGCTGGCAGTATTTATCATTATCTCTTACTAATTGTGTGATTTGGGAAGTTACATGATCTTGTGAGAGTCTGCTTTTTCATCTTTGTATCCACATAGGTTATTATGAGAATTAAATAAGAGAATGCAGGAGAATACTTGGTACAGTGCCTGAAAGGCCCCAACAAACATGTGAATTGTTACCTGAGATATGATGAAAGGGAATGTTCAGGGAGCCTAGGATTTATAGCTGGGCACCTTCACTTGTTCTGAAGGGGACAACAAAAGTCCTCCAGAGGAAGCGACCTTTAAGTTGAGACCTTCAAAGTGAATATAATTTGTGGTCTGGAAAAAAAGCAAAGGTTCCAAGTAGAAGAAACTACCCTGCACATTCCAGGGCCTGAAGGCATATGCTGAAGGAATGCAAGAGCTGAGAAGTCCCAAATGGTGGGACAGAGAGAAAGAGCTGGAAACATGGCGAAGGGTGAGCCTTGGAGAAGTAAGCAGGAGCCAGAGGGATGAGGACTCTGAAGGTCATGGTTAGGATTTTATGCTTTACCTTGACCACAAATTAAAAAGCCCTAAAAGAAAGGCAAGAGAAAGGAAACGACATGATCAGTATAAATTCTGAAGAGACCATTCTCCCCTGCATTGGGGCAGGCTGATAAGAAACACCTATTGCTTCCTCCTTTAGCTCCAGCAAGAAGTTCAAAACACACAACATCCAGCCCACCTGTGGAAACCCTCACCCCAGCTCTGTGCCTTAAATTGCAATAAAATCCAAGCCAGCCTCCTTTCCCCACTCTCTCAAGCCATTTTTGGACCTGCTTGAGAACCTTCCGTGCTCTTCCTCATTATGTGAGTAACAAACCTTTTCATATGCTCTTGGTATGTGTGTGTGGCATCAAAATCTCTCCATCTGAACCACATTCAGATGGCGGGGTTGGGGTGTCCATCATGCCTCTTGTAACCACAACAATATGCATTATAAATATAAAAACTTTAACATATCTATCTCAAACAAGACTGAGATTATACTATGAATATCTGATTTTTAAAATAATATACTTTTGGACAAGGATGTTATTAAATGTTTTTCACAATATCATTTGATCTGCAACATATGATACTGTGTATGTATTGTACAAATGATCTAACCAACTTACGATTAGACATATATGTTGCTTACAATATTTTTACTGCTGCTGTAGCAGATATCCTTATAGAGAAACCTTTGTTCATTTTCTTGGTAACTTAAGATAAATTCTTATAGTTTTAAGTATTAATGAATCATAAGCACATTCATCTCATCAGAGTAAATATTTAGGGAGCATTGCCATGCGCAGTTATTCGGGATCCTAAATACAAAAATTATCAAAATTCTTTTCAGAGAAGTACATTTATGATAAGGGATTCAGAAGAATATTTGCAGGTTAAAAACTGATTTTTTTTTAAATGAAAACAGCTAAAGCCAAGAAATGGAGCCTGTATAAAATTGTATAAGGTGTGAAGTTTACCACAGGGTGGCACTAATACATTTCTATTAAATTATGATACGTTAATTAGAAGTTTTTTCTCTGTTGATCTATGTTTTTAGTGAAGTATAACTAGAAAAATATTTAAGTTTAATTTGATATTTTAAAAATTAGTTTACATTAAAAACACAAGACAGGATTTTTATTTAAGAACCTAAATATTATACATACTTTCATAACCACAGAGCCTGACAGGTGATTTCCCTTGTTTGTTTGTTTGTTTTTAATGTTGGTTTATTTTTGAGAGAGAGAGAGAGACACCGCGTGAGTAGGGGAGGGGCAGAGAGAAAGGGAGACTCAGAATCTGAAGCAGGCTCCAGGCTCTGAGCTGTCAGCCCACAGACTGATGTGGGGCCCGACCCCACAAACTGTGAGATCATGACCTGAGCCAAACTCTGATGCTTAACCAGTTGAGTCACCCAGGCAGTCCCCAGGTGATTTCCTTTTTAAAAAACCAAAAATCAAATTATGGAACATAGTGTAATACACATATACACACATACATATGTATAAATGTTTATAAATATTAAAAACATATATAATATTTGGGTTCTTAAAAATCTTGTTTTGCATTTTTAGTGTAAACTAATTTTCTAAATACGTGTATGTGTTTGTGTCTTATTGTATGTGCAATAAGAGAGTGAAATGCCATTTACAGAGTTGGGTTTATTTTCTGATCTTGCATCTAACTGAAATTTTAGCTTTTGTATTTTAAAGGAGCGATCCTCAATAGCCTGTTTTTCACTCTCCTGCACCAGAAAAATTTTAGGGACAGGAACTTTTATAAAGTATCCTCTGCCATTTACTCCTGTTTCTTCCTATCTCAAGTCATTCTGAATGCACCCGGGGGGGTTACCTCCCTTCCTTCTTAATTAGTGCTCCAGTGAGCTTCTGTTAATGACAGTTACATTTACATAATTAGTTATTATGTCCTTCTGGTGAAATGACTTCTGTATCATTAAGAAATGACCTTTTTATTCCTGGTCGTATTTTTTTGCTCTGAAATTTACCCTGTTTGATGCTAAGGTAGCCATTGCTACCTTTTCTTTTGAGTCTTGCTTTTTAAATATAATCTGACAATCTCTGCCTTTTAATTGGGGGTATTTAGACCATTTACTTTAATGTGACTACTGACATAGTTAGGCTTAAATTCATCATCTTGTTTTTTGTTACCTATTTGTCTCATCTAACTCTTTGTTTCCCCTTCTCACTTCTCTGCCATGTTTGAGATTCAGGTTTTTCTTTTTTCTTTTTTTAAATGTTTATTTATTTTTAAGAGATAGAGAGCACAAGGAAGAGCGCACCTGTCCTGTGATCTCTGGTCAGCTTTGTCTCCCTAGACTCAGCTTCTCAACTCAGGGTGTCTGCTGGGTCCCCTGGTCTTTCCCCTCCCAGCGTGTAGCCTGGAAACTCATTCATAGGCTTGTTGCATTTGCTTTATATATCTTAGGGATCACTGCTCTCTGTTGCCTGATGTCCACTGTCTTGAACGCTATTATCTCATATATTTTTTCTGATTTTTTTTTTTTTTTTGGTTGTTTCAGGCAGTAGTACAAATTTGGTCCAGGTTACTCCATCTTGTCCAGAGCAAAACATCTACTTCAAGTTTTTATGAGAGGTTTTTGTTAGTTTCTTTGTATAATTTTATATTTAAATCCATTTAAAGTTGTACTTTAAGTAGATAATTAATTACTTTATCTCAAACACATACTATATAAAGATTCTACCTGTAAGTGGATACATTATAAATTAAATAATTAATTTTTGTGGGTTTTTTTTCTTATAGTTTGGTTAGAAAAGCAATGGCTTTGATTTATTAATACCTGGAAAGTAAGTCTAGTAATAATGCTAGTTGTAATTTTACTCCCTTAATTACATTATAGTAAAATTTCTTAAGATTTTTAGAAATGAAAATATATGTGGTAGGTCATCTTCAACACATTTTAAGCTGAACATCATTGCATTTCTTTAATATTGCAGAGTTATAAAGCTAAAAAATATGTCTCAAACAAGGATTCAGGAAATTTTATGAAACAAAGTTACAATCATTTCTTGAGTGCCTACTATGTGATAGGCACTTCACAAAATTATTTTTTATACTCACAATTCATTTATTAGGCAGATGTTATTGTCCCCATTTGAAAGATAAGGAAATTGATAATACAGTAGGATTGTATAACTTGCCCAAAATTACAGAGTAAGAATTCACACAAGCTGGATTCACACAGGCCAAACAACTAAAACTCAAGAGTGCTTTATTATCCCAAGCTGATTAAAGCTCTTCCCTTTGTAAAGACCTTCAGACCTTCCAGGTTTGGGGAGAGTGAGGTTTTTCTTTTTTTCTTTTTTTCAATGTTTATTTATTTTTGAGAGAGATAGACAGAACGTGAGTGGGGGAAGGAGGAGAGATGGAGACACAGACTCCAAAGCAGGCTGCAGGCTCCGAGCTGTCAGCACAGAGCCTGACGCGGGGCTCAAATTCACAAACCACAAGATCATGACCTGAGCCAAAGCCGGATGCTTAACCAACTGAGTCACCCAGGCACCCCAAGAGAGTGAGTTTTAACAATAGATTTATTGATAAGTTTTAGTCCATTAACATATCAAATATTAATATTTTACAAATTTTCTCTCCTATTCTATAAATAACATAATGATAACTTCATGTCACACTTAAAGTCTGATAAGAATCTACATTTTGAATCACTTTGCAATTTTCACGGTGCTTTCACACATTTCAATAATTATAACCACACTGGTTCATGCATTAGCCTCATTTTGTTCAAAGTCTATCATTTGGTCTAGGTTCCCATGATTCATAGACCGATATTTTTTCTATTATCCCAAACTGGCCTCTCTGCATCATTAGATTACTTTATTAAAACAAACAAAACCAAAATGGCACCCATGTGAAGTCACCAAGTTTTTTTCCCACTTTTATGACAATACTTATGAAAAATATAGTTTGATTTTATATTTGGGTAGGTGTTGAAAATTTTGCTTACCATATTAATGTCATTTTCTTTTGTTTTACAGCCTTGCAGACCACCTCACTGAATGTGATGCTCAGAGTATAGGTGGAAAATTCATAAATTGGGATTTGATGCCAGACGGGTAGGAAGCAATATATACATATATAAAGTTTATATAGCATCTACATTTTAGAAATTTTATTATGTGTTTATTAAACTGTATTTCATTTTTTAAAATTTGTATTTTTTTTTATATGCATTATATATTGTTTTCATATTGTAATACGCAAACTTTATTTCCTAGCCATCATAATCTTATTAGTATCCAAAACTAAATTTCAGGAGAATTCTTTTTGGCACCTTAAAAGTCATAGTTCCCTAAGATAATATACAATATTTTATATTACTATTATTATGGTCTCTAGTTTATTATTAAGCTGACTTTTGTATTTGTTAATGAGTTGAATTGTGTCTCCCAAAGACATGTTTAAATTCTAACCCCCAGGATCTTAGAATGTTACCTTATTTGCAGAGAGGGTCTTTACAGAGATAGTCAAGTCAAAATGAGATAATTATAATAGGCCTCAATCCAATATTGGTGCTCTGATTTAAAAAAAAAGTAGAAATTTGGACAAGGAAAAAGACACACAACAGAGGAAAGACAATGTGAAGACACACAGAGAGAACAGCATGTGAAGACAGGACTGGAGTGATGCATCTATAAACCAAGGAACACCAGAAACATCAGAAAGGAAAGAAAAGGTTTTGCCCTAGAGCTGTCAGAGAGAACATGGCCCTACTTGTCTACACCCTGATTTCAAACTATTAGTGTCCAGAACTGAGATAGTAAATTTCTGTTGCTTTAAGACACCCAGATTTTGGTACTTTGTTATGACACCCCTAGGAAAATAATATAGTACCTAAAGTAGAAGTAGAGTCTCTCTCTCTAAGAACTAAATACACTAAATATGTATTGCTGGGACCTTGTATAAATATATATCTAAATATACACTGGAACCTTGAAATATGAGGACCCTATTCCATCCAGGGCTCTGCTGTGAGAAGGTTCTAGGTCCCAACTCTAAGAAGCTCCTACAACATGAGCTAGCTTACTGATATGAGACTTAATAATACATAGGCCTTTGCCTCTAGTACAAATTAGGGATCTATAGATGACAGTGGTCTTTTCAGTCTTGTCTCCCATTCTTTCTCTGATCCTTGTCCAGAACCACACAGATGGTATCACTCTTCTCCTCGTCTTCGGCTGTCATATGGTACCAGACTAGTAGGAAGCAATAAGTACATGAGGGTCATAGCACCAGTGGGAAATGTGTCCTTAGCCGTATGCTCAAATTTGTCTGTATTTTATCTCTCAGAATGATTATTTGCTTTTGCAGTGTTTGCCTGTACTTGGGGGCAGATGACTTCCTTGATAGTTTTTTTTTTCTTTCTAATTTTATTCTTACCTCAAATTCATCAGCCTCTATTTGAGACTTAACACATTTCTGATGGTGACGAGGGTCAGTCTCTCACCGACCTAGACTCAGGTGATCTTTGTTTTCTTCCATGTTCTCCCTTATCTCATCTATCATCAGTCAGTAAGGTCAGTTTTCACTCCATAATATCTTTCATTTTCTTCCTTTTGTATCCATCCAAATTTGCCAGTTTTCTTCTCTGGCTTCTGAAGGCTATTGTAGAATCTTATGTGGATTCTGAAGGCTGTATAGCTTCTAAAGACCGTTAGCTGATTTTCATGACTCTTGTTTCCAGTGTAATAGCTTTGCAACTGTAAAACAGATAGTTCAAGTACCAGAAATCTGACTGCTTAGGTTTTATCATCTTGGTTTTATCCTTTCAACCAAATTATAAACTCTCTGAGGGCATGGATCTTTGCATTCCTACAGACCTATCAGATGCAACATTTAGCCCAGAATAGCAATGAGAAAGCATAAACTTTGGAAATATTTCCTAGAATCCTGGTCCTACCACTAATTAGTTCTGTGAGATGGGACAAGTTACTCAACCTTTATGTTCCTCAATGTCACTCATCTGCAGGGTAAGAAAAATGGTAATATCTCCTCTCATTGGGTTATTATGGAAGATGAGTGAATAAAGCACTTAAAAGAATACCAAAAATAAATAGTAATTTTTCAATAAAATGTTCATTATCTTATTGTCTTACACTTTGCTGTTCTTCGAATATTTGGAGACTAATAAAAGATAAATTTCATTGACACATGAATAGAAGAATGATTTGATTTTATCTGAACATGTGTTGCACCTCTCAGTTATGGTGATGTAGCCCTGAGTCTTGTTGAGTTTCATGAGTATAAAACAAGGATAATAATACCTACCCGTAGGGTTGTTGGAGAGTTTACTATAAATAAGTTGCTGTTGGTAAGGGCTGAATCCAGTATTTGACACTTATTTACCATAAGTAAATGGTATCCAGGAGAAGCAGTAATAATGGTAGTGTTAATAGTAGTGAGGCAGCAGTATCAGTGATGGAGTGGTAGTAATAATACTAATAATGGTAGTAACAGGAAGAAGTAGCATTTCACTTTGTTTTTGGTATGTATGGAACATATTAGCAATTGAAGGTGGCTGAGGGTATGCGAGGAGACATAAAGGTTTTCTTGACAGTCCAAGAGAAGTGATAGTTGAAGTCACGGGAATGGATGAGGTGGCCTCGAGAGTGAAGAGAACAGCTCTGGGAGCATCAGGGCATCTAGGGAAGGCAAGGGCAAGGGGAAAGTTGAGGCCCCTGGAGAGAGTGCAGTTCAAATTCTTACCCATCAAATCCAGAGATAGTGGAAGGAAGAAAATAGCTTGTAAGATGGGAAGCTGTAATTAGAGGGCGTCAGGCAGTAAAAGAAAATAGTCAGGGAAGACAGTGACCTGCCCTGGCCCCTATTACAGTCATTTCTCAACCATTTCCTCATATTTCCATCTTACTCAAAAAATTATCTTTCCTTCTTTAACAGCTAAAAAATAACTATATACATATGTTAATGAAATTAATAACACTATATTTTAATGCTATGATTAAACACTATCTATGGTCCATTACCAATTGGTGATACGTCATGAAGAAAATATGGACATGCTGGAGAGAAACAAATATGCTTTTCATTTGAAGAAGCGCATTATGGCCTGAAAGTTATATTGTGAAGCTGAGGACGTATATTTGGCAGGAGAAATTGAGAAAGCATGGCATGTACCTTTACTCAATATATTTAGAATACTTTGCTGAAGTCTAACATGTACCAGTACTTTAGAGAAAGAAATGTTTTTTAATTGGTGAACCCAGAAGGCATGTCCTAAATTATATGTATATTTGAACATATATATATATATATTCATTGTAACTCTGACAATTATATGCTAAGTATTTTTTTAAATATGAAAATTTTACCAAAAAGCAAGTCAATCTTTGCTTCAGCAATTCAGATAATATTGACTAATGTCTATTTGATTTAGATTTTTTTCAGTGCTTTAGTCATTTTGTTCCAAATGAAACACATTTCTCTTGGCTTCCTGCTTTGGCTGTAAACAGCCCAAAAAGCAATTACAAATTAAAAATCATCCCTATTCAGCTAAATAGTAAGATTATATTTATTTACTATTTTGATATTTCTCTCTTTTGTCTGTCTCTATATTGTTTTCAAATATATTGTTTAAACAAAATATTCAATACAATATAAAATATAGCAACTACTGTACCTTAAATAATACCTAGAACAACCAAAATTGATCTATAGCTTCTTCTCTAAGAATAGTTCCAAGGATATATTATCTTAGGCACCTTCCTTATAATGGTTGCTGTTGCCATTAAGCATTGCACTTGGCCTTTTAAAATTTATAATTTTTATTCATGATACTTAAAAATGCAGTGGTCATAATGCAATATAAAATAGCTTCAATTAGTATACAAATTCTTTTTCCACTTCAGTCTTTAAAAAAATAATAATAAACTCCCAGCGAACCTTTACCCTGCAAATGACCTATTATGACATAGTTGAACTTGCAATGAACTTTCACATGAACTTTCAGTTATCCTCTGAGAAATATAACAGATGGAAAATAGGCAGATTTTTCAAATATTTTTAGATGCAGTGCTTGGACATGTTTAACCGACAACAAGGCCGACTATCTCTTTCCAGTGTTTGCTTTGCTGACTTTATTATACTGCATTCTGTTTAGTTACATTATATGCATGAATTAAGAGATTCGGTTACATTTCTGTTTGACCAGCATCTTGATTTTAAACCAGCACTTGTATATGTGTTTAAAGATGAAGCTAATAGGGTCATAAAATATAACAAATTGTAAGAGAACTTTATTGAAGTTTTTGAAATAACACTGCTTCAAATCATTTATTTAGATAAGAGGGCTTTTAAGCACCTATTTCAGATTTTAGAATATTCGTCAACTATAATGTCTTTCACTTTGAATGGTTTGTAGCTAGAAATTCAGTTCAAACTACACATGGTTTTTGAACGGTTATTTGGGAAAGGAAGAGGAAAATTAATGGAGCACCAGCTATTGTTTACTACCGCTGGGGTATGAGATAGGCTCCTTAGAGGTATTTCATCTTAGCAACTCTCTTCCCCAAGTAGTTATCTTACTCATTTTGCATAAGAGGAAAGGGAGACAGAGAGATTGTGTAACTTGCCTGAGAAGACACAGCTAAACTGGGAAATTAAATCCAGGTCTCCCAGACTTTCAAGTCCTTTCTCTTGCTACAAGTTTGTGCTCCCAAGAACAAAATATTTTGTTTGGTCAAATGAATGCTGAAAATAAAAGTGTGATACTGCTCTAACAGTTCTATAATCTTTGTTTTGAGAATTTAAAGAGTTTCTTTGTATTCGTTGCATAATATTGCTAAATAAGTTAGGTATAAAACTTTCAGGTTGCTCTCAGTGATATAATGATAGTAACCGAGATATTTGCTTCTCCTGAAAGTTTCCTTTTGTTTGCAAAAGAAACTATACATCTATTACATTTACCAAATAATGCAGACATTTATATTTTTTATCCACTGATATGCATCTCCTTGCTTAGATCAATTCTTATTAACGCCCACTATATTCTCAGACCATAATTTATTCATCCTGAATAGTGTTTTAGATGTAGTTTAGTTCAGAGAGAGATTATACTTAATGGACATAGATACGTATAAAGTAGCACACAATTTCATTTATAAGATCAGAATGTGAACTCTATTACTCTGTAATTAGTCCATCTTTCCTGAGACTTCACTTAGTAACAACAATATCATTGGTGAAGCAAATAAAGATCTTTCCATTTCACAAGGATGCATTTAGAAGCTTGAAGGACCTGTTGTGATCTTGTCAGTGACATAGTTTAAATGGATAGCAAGTTAGGGGCACCTGGGTATCTCAGTTGGTTAAACATCTGACTCAGGGCATGATCTCACAACTTTTGATTTCGAGCCCTGCATTGGGATCTGTGCTGACAGCTCAGAGCCTGGAGCCTGCTTCGGATTCTGTGTTTCCCTCTCTCTGTGCCCTTCAACCTGCTCACATTCTGTCTCTCTCTCTCTCAAAAGTAAATAAACATTTAAAAAAAAATTAATGGATAGCAAGTTAAAATAAGTTGTTACTCATTTTAAGGGAATTTCTACTACTTTCCTTTCTTTAACTTTTCAGCTTATTTTTTAAAAACAGCTCTTTTTATTAAAAGTAACAAACAGTTTTCATATTAAAATAAGTGATCCTGCTTTTCTCTTCAGTGTTTAGGTATTGAAGGTGGAGCAGTGTAGATTCAAGGGGTAAAAGGTCTCTTCCTTCTTCCTTTTACAGCTGATCCTTCAACAACATGGGTTTGAACATCGCTTGTCCACTTACACATGGATTTTTTTTTTCAGTGAATGCAGTACTATCTACTTTCTATTCCTTATCACATTCCTAATATTTTATTTAGCTTACTTTATTGTAAGAATACACCATGTAACATAACACATATACAAAATATGTGTTCATTGACTATTTTATTAGTAAGGCTTCAAGAGGCTATAAGTAGCTTATTTGGGGGGAGTCAAAAGTTATATGTGGATTTTTGATTGTGCAGGGAATCAGTGCTCCTAACCTCTGTGTTGTTCCAGGGTCAACTGTATAAGGTCTTTTCTCTTGTGTTACTTTATTTGTTTAGAAGTCAAGTGGAAAGCACATACATTTCCCTCTGTATGATAGGGTGGCTTAGTTAGGGATAAAGTTATGATTTCCTGTAGAAAGTAGGCAGAAAACCTGGTAGGGAGATAAGCCCATGACTTTCTTTGATTTCTTGATATTGGTTAAGACTGATAGGTCTACGTAAATTCTAAAACTTATATTTATAATATTGCAGCTCCTTAGATTTGGGGTAGTCATTATCTGTCCAATACTAGTCCCACATGGTAGAGAGGGATTGTGGAGTAGGTATTGAATTATCAATACAGAGAATATGTATCTATATATTAAAAATACTGTTCCTTTTTTTGATATAGTATGTCTAAAACTATGATATGACAGAAAACATAAAATTTAGGCATACATGCTTTTTTATCTTCTTGCTTTAAAATAGACTCTGAAAGCTATAAAGTGATACAACCTCTAAAATCTCTAAAACCTCAAAAAATAAGTGTCAGTTTTGGGGGCACCTGGATAGCCCAGTCAGTTAAGTGTCTGGCTCAGGTCTTGGTCTCAGGGTTGTGAGTTCAAGCCCTGCATCGGGCTCCATGCTGGGTGTGAAGCCTACTTTAAAAAAAAAAACAAAAAAGAAAAATGAAGAAAAATACAAATAAATTATAAATAATAAATTATTACTTATACATAATTTATTATTAATAAATAAAATAAGAAAAATACAAAGTGTCAGCTTAAAAAAGCAAACTGTTTAACATAAACATTAAAATATTAATGTTAAATAAACATTAATTAATATTAAATAAAACATAAGTTTTTTATTAGTAATCTACATGTGTACTGGTTAGCATTTTTATTGCAAGTGACAGAAATGTAATTCAAAGTAACATAAAGAAAGGTGGCAGTCACATGCAAATTTAAATATATATTTAGATTATATTGTATACCATTTTTGCCTCTTTTTTAAATATAGCATTAGGAGCATTTCATCATGATTAAATAATTTTACTTTTCACCTTTTTCTTATTATTTACTTTCTTACATTATTTCAAAAGTGCTCCATAGCATTCCATTATGTGCATGTATCATAGTGTATTTATTTATTTATTTTTAACTTTTTAAATGTTTTTATTTATTTTTGAGAGACAGAGTGAGAGCAGAGGAGCGGCAGAGGAAGATAGAGAGACAAAGAATCTGAAGCAGGTTCCAGGCTCTGAGCTGACAGCACAGAGCCCCATGGAAGGCTTGAACCCACGAACCATGAGATCATGACCTGATCTGAAGTCTGACACTTAACTGACTAAGCCACTCAGGCACCCCATCATAGTGTACTTAAATACTGCTTTCTTGGGGAACCTGGGTGGCTGAGGTCATGATCTCACAGTTTGGGGGTTCGAGCCCCGCGTCAGGCTCTGTGCTGATAGCTAGCTCAGGGCCTGGCGCCTGTCTTCGTATTCTGTGTCTCCCTCTCTCCTGACCCTCTCCTGCCCATGCTGTCTCCCTCTCTCTCAAAAATAAATAAAACATAAAAAAATTATTTTATTTAAGTTTATTTATTTATTTTGAGAGAGAGACAGAGCACACGAGTCGAGGAGAGGCAGAGAGAGAGAGAATCCCAGGCAGGCTCCTCACTGCACGCGCAGAGCACAACACAGGCCTTGACCTCAGGAACTGTGAGATTTTGACCTGACTGAAGTCAAGAGCCAAGAGCTGGATGCTTAACTGACTGAGCCACTCAGGTGCCCCAAGAAAGGTTTTATTAAGTGATATTTGAACAAGGCAACCTGAATGATGAGTGCCTTCTTAGGCACCTAAGTAAGATAAAAGGCATGAAAACACAGTTATATGTCACAGTATCTGGCACATATTATTCAGTAAATATTGTTGAATGAATAAATGACTCTTTGAAAAATCAGAAAATAAAGCAAACATTAAAACACGAAGCGTAGAACACGATTTTAAAAGTTAAGTCAAAATCATAGTTGGGCAAATAAATGTAAATGCTGTAAACTGCTCAATTAAGAGATAAAGTCTCTTAGAATAGATTAAAATCAAATTTCAACTAAGTGCTGTGATGCACATTGAAACCAAACAATGCAAGAAAGTTGGAAGAATCAGAGTAAAAAGGAATAAGAAAAAGAAGGACAGGAGAAGGTAGGAGACAATGAGAAGGGAAAAAATAGAGGGAAATGATATTGACATTTTCATAAGGTAGGATTCAAATGGCATAGAATGTATCATTCATAATAAACATGATGTGGTCATGTACTTTCATGTGCTAAATAACACAGCATTAAGACATTTAAGTGAGACCTATTAGACACTTAAAGAGAAAGAAAGAGAAATATAATTGCTGTGGAAGATTTTAACAGATCTTCATATTCATTGAGTTAAATAATAATGATTATTTATTTCTATTTATTATTTATTATTAAATAAATGATTAAAAAGAACACAGAATATTAGGATAATACAAAAGTTGAATAGCTACAGATAGAACATTCTCCCCCACACAAGACAAGTATGTAGCATGTTTTCAAGCATCCTTAAAGCTACCTTAATCTCTTTCAGAAAGTAGAAATTTTTTAGACCACATTCTTTGATCATATGTTCAGTACACCAAATTAATAACAAAACTTTCAGAAACAACCAAGCCCTAAAACTCAAATCTCTAAGAAATGTCAGAAGTACTTGTACACACGGGGTGCCTGAGTGGCACAGTCGGTTAAGTGTCTGACTCTTGATCTCAGCTTACGTCATAATCTCATGGGTTCATGTGTTTTTGCCCAGCATCAGGCTCTGCACTTGGGATTCTGTCTCTCCTTCTCTGTCCCTCCCCTGCTTGAGCTCATGTGTGTGCTCTCTCTTTCTCTCAAAGTAAATAAATAAACTTTTAAAAAATGTACTTGCACACGTAATTATTGTTATCAAAGAGGAAATCTTCAATATCAGACTGTTTAGAAAATAAAGACACTGAGGCTATTAACATATCAAATGTTGTGGTTTGAAGCTAAAAGCTATATTCAGGAGTGATTTGATAGCCTTAAATGCCCGAGAGATTGCCCTAGTCATTTACCTGTGATTGTTGACATCCAACCTTGATCAAGAATGAAAGCTAGGCAAATGTTGGAATTGATCCACTGTAAATTCATGAATATGTTTTCTTTTCCTTATCTTTTTTTTTTCCTTATCTTTTAATGATTCTGATTTTAAGAGAGAAAAAAAGTCTCATTTGATCCTTGAGCACTTGCCAACCTCTCTATTTTTAATTGTGGAGCCAGTGAGCTAGCAGGAACCAGACCGTTCCACAGGAAACAGTATTTGGCTGGAATCAGGTAATATTTGTTTTCACTTTATTTATTTATATATTTATTTATTTATAATGACTGAAGTATAGTTGACAATATTATATTAGTTTTAGGTGTATATCACAGTGATCCAACAATTCTATAGGTTACTCAGTGTTCACCACCGTAAGCGTAGTCATAGCACAGCATTATTACAATATCATTGCTTCTGTTCCTTATGATGTACTTTTCATCTCCATGACTTATTTATTTACAGCTGGAAGTTTGAACCTCTTAATCTCGCTCACTTATTTTTATCATATCCTTTGCTGCAGAACTCATGTTTGAAGACACCAGTGTGGAAAATTATAGTGAGGTTCATCTTCAAATTTTAGGTTCTGAAGGAACATATGGAACATAAGCTAAAACAAATTTAAGTGGAGTAAAGTAAAATGCAAGATTCCTTTTTCCAGTATAAAAGAATTGGTTTGGAATATTCTTAATCACTTACGTATGAAAGCATTTATTATAAAGACCAACCTAGCTAACTTTTAATGGGCTGTGAGTTTTGGGTTACTTCTGTTTTATAGTGTATATTTTTTAATTGATCATTCTATAACAAGCTTGTTAATTCAATTTGAATTTTCTATGTGCCTATGGCAAAACTTTATTCCTTTCCTTTCTCGTTATACCCACCATTAATGGTCATGGTTAGGCTCTTGGGTACCACATACATGGTTTTCTTAAAAAGTTTTTTAGGTAGCTATGAATATTTAAATTTTTAACGTCTAGCTAGTTAGTATATTCTGTTCTTTAGCAGTAAAAACAAATAATATTTCTTCCATTCTTGCTGGAAAAATTCTAGCTATTCCCTAGAAAAGGAATCAAAGATTCAGAATTGTTTTTTGCTTACACTGAAAAAATTCAGCATATAAAGTATGTCAAAATCTATTGTGACCACCCATTAAAAATCAGTTTCATTAATCTAATTCAAGGCACTTTGAGATTTTTTTTTTTTGAGGGGGGGAGTATAAGTGAGGGAGAGGCAGAGAGAAAGAGGAAGGGAAAGAGAGAGAGACAGAGAGACAAAGAGAGAGGCAGGGTTCAAGCTCACCAGATGCAGGGCTCGAACCTACAAACCATGAGATCATGACCTGAGCCAAAGTTAGATGCTTAACCTACTGAGCCACCCAGGCACCAAGATTATTTTTTTTAATGTAAATGGCCAAATTAAACAAAATGAAGTATAATCAATGTCTCATTGAATTATGGATAATTAGCTTGACCTTGCCTAGGAACTTTCTTTCCCTATCCATATATTTATTCCAAGCAACATTATTATAGTTATGTCTTATATAAACTTTCTATTTAGAAGTTTAACCCTTTTGAATGATTTTTTAGGTCTTTTTAACTCTGACAGTCTTATTCACAAAGGTTTGATCGTATTATTATTTTGGATTATTTGTAGATATTTTGGTGTGTAGTGACTACTGTCACTTAGTAAGTGTTAATAAAACACGGGAAAGTATATAAGAAACAACAATTACGGTGTTGTAATAACACTAATTGAGAGGGTAGTGTGTGCCAGACACTATTCCAAGTGCTCTACTTTTATTTTTTTATTCTTTTCTAAGTGTATTTATTTATTTTGAGAGAGATCTAGTGAGCATGAGTGAGGGAGGAGCAGAGAGAGAGGGAAAGATCATCTCAAGCAGGCTCCACACTGAGCACGGGGCTCGATCTCATGACCATGAAGTCATGACCTGCCCCGAAATCAAGAGTCTGATGCTTAACCCACTGAGCCACCCAGGTGCCCCTACTTGTATTTTCGTTTAGCCCTCACAATAACATTTTAGGTAGATCTGTTGGTATTTCTATTTTATAAACGAGGAAACTGAGACTCAGTGAGGTTGAATAATTTGTCTGAGGTCAAACAGCCAATGAGGGGCAAGGCCAGATTTTGAACTCATTGCCGTCCAGTTCTAGCTTCTGCACTTTTAACCCTCAAGAGTTTCATTTTCGTGTAGAATCAATGAAAAAGCTCTAAAACCTCTGTAACTGAATTATTAAGGCTTGGATAACATAAAAAGATAATTTATTAAATTTTTAAAAAGAAAAATAATATTGTTCCTTATAATCCCAGATATGTTAAAATAGGATGGCTCAATCAATTGTCTGTGTTACAATCTTTATTGACCCTCTTTTCTGTTTAGGAATTTTCTCTTTTATACAAAATAGAAAGCTCAAGAAGATATTGGCCAAATATTTTATTTTGACAAAAGTTTTGGAGAATTCTTGGTTTCATAATTTTTGCAGTCTGTTATTCATTTCATTTTATAAAGCCCTCCACCTCCACCCCCCAAATGCCAGGAACTGCTGTGTCTTATTTTGTAGACTAGCATGTGGTAAGGTCAGGATTTAAACTTAGGGACTATTTAGAATTATATGAGAAACTGCAGATTCTTGATAAAGCCCAGAAACAGGAATCAGGTGTCAGAGTGTAGTCATTTCACTCTATCTAGAAATATGTGCTCTGTGACTGGCTAGGTGGTTTAACTGCCATATTTAATTCACTGATTAGAATTCATGAATGTAGAACTTAAAATGAAAGGTTATTGCGAAAGCCAACTTAAAATTTTTTTAAATTAATTTATTGGTTTTTATTACTCTTTTTTTGAGTATGGAGACACACAATGTTATATTAGTTTCCAGTGTGCAACATAGTGATTCAGCTTCTCTATACACGATGCTATGCTCACCACAAGCGTAGCTACCATATGAAAGCCAACTTTTAATCTGTTGTTGGGAAGGTGCTTTGTATTAAAGGTTGCTTGAAAAAAGCACATGTGTGTATTTTTCAGGATGTATCCATGAAGCTCAATTTAGTCACATAATTAAATTGTCAAACAGATTCATTAAGTTGGTTTTAGACTGAGAAATTGATAGTGAACATAATGGGAAAAGTAGAATTTTACTTTAATTATTGGTCATTAAAATAATTATGTCTCATATTTGTCCTTGAAGAAATGTTTCACATCTGATGCCATCTTGTTTCATCATAGTAGCTCAGTGAAGTAGTTAGGAAGCTGATATGATCTTCATTTGACTAAAAAGGCAAATTAAGTTATGGGGAAATGGACGGACTTAATGAAGGATGAGCAGGTCTTTAGAATAACATGCAGAACTAGACCTCAGACTTCCACTCCTTTCTAGTGACCTTCCAAATGACCACACCTTTCAGAGAAGGTGACTGCTAAATCCTTAAAAGTCTCAAGTAAGACATTGTTTATTTATGTAATTATGTATTATAACTCTGTTTCAAACTAGGATAACTGACTCATTCTATAATAAACTGTCCAATGGCTATAGATCATGTATGATGTAGAAATTCTTGAAGAGAAATTGAGCTGTCGCAATGATACACATATCATTTAAAATCATCTGTCCTATGAAGAAAGTAATAGGCATCAATTAAATAAAAGACAGGGAAAATGGAAAAAAAAAGCAAAGGCATTTTACATATACAATTTTAGCAATTTTTCAAGCTATCATTACCATGTGTTAAGTTATATTCCTAAGATAAAATTAATTATTAATAATTTATAGAGGACTAAGACTGTTATCATTTAATAAAGTGTTTATTTTTGTGGACGAGCATGGCTTAATTGGGAAAACCTATAATAATAAACTCTTTATAGTGATCAGGCAAATCAGAGATAATTACATGGCCCAGAAATAGATCTTCTTTCATGGTATGCAAATATAGGCTTGTGTCATATTTTGTGTTAGGGCATCTGGTAATTTCTACTCTTTGTTAATAGGGTCCCCAAGGAGTAGTCCTCTGACTTTCAGGACATCAAAAATAGAGGAAGGCATTAGACATTGTTTCAAGAGAAATTGCACAAACAGGGTCTGGAATGGGTGAATATGCATATTTTTACAGTTATAGCTATAAGAACCCTTTACTTTCTTATCACTGGCATCAATTGTAATCATTAGTTGACCCTTCTGGATTCGGCAGTGTATGCCGAGGGTCAAGCATATTCATAGCCCTTTTGCCTTTGAGCATTTGAATACCTTTAAACATTTGTTGTATATATACCCTTTCTCATAATACTCATTTCAAGTTTATCAAAATCTTTAAAACATCTTGACATTAAGTGTGGCCATACATGTTTGTCCATTATGTATATGCAAATGATGGATTTAGGTTATAGTCCCAAACAAAGCAGTCTGTGTTGCATTTCCCCCACATCAGGATCTCATTTCCCCAGAACGGTCTCTTTTATCTTAGTACCTTCTAAACAGGTCTCAGGGTGTCCTGTGCCTTGTCTCCTCCAGGCACACAGGATTTCTTTCCTCCCTCCCTTTTGCTCTCTACTCACAAACGAAATGGACCTGCTGTGACCACAGAACCACTCTAAGGCTTCAGTTTTGCTAATCCAATGAGCTCATTCATTCATTGGAACATTACATTTGAAAGGCTTTGAATTCCTGCATTTCACATATGAAGAAATTGGGGTTTGGAGAGGCGAAGTGGGTAAAATGAGAGAAAATAAGGACCCCTTTTGGCTCTCAAGTAGAGAAGTAAAATTTTCTAGAAATGTTAGTGTCATGGGGAAAAGTTCGGTTCTATTTCCACTTCTTTTTCTCTACCAATGTTTAAAAATATGGAGGGGGGAATGAATTTTGACTATGCAAGACTTACATTTTAAAATTAAAACAGCAAAAATCAGTAAGTGGGACTTCATTAAGATTAAATGCTTCTGCCCAGGAAAAGAAATGATCAACAACATGGGAAGTCAATCTATGGAATGGGGGAAGGTATTTGCGAGCCATATATCTGATAAGAGGATAATATTCAAAATATATAAGGAACTTGTACAACTCAATAAAAAAAACAGTTCAATTAAAAAATGGGCAGAGGACTTGAACAGACATTTTTCCAAAGATGACATATAAATGGCCAATAAATATAGGAAAAGGGGCTTAATATCACTAACATCAGAAAAATACAAATTAAAAACACAATGAGGTATTATCCCACACCTGTTAGAATGGGTATTATTATCAAAAAGATACCCAATGATACAAAAAGATAACAAATGATACAGAGAAAAAGAAATCCTTGCGCACTCTTGGTGGGAATGTATATTGTTGCATCCACTCTAGAAAACAGTATGGAGGTTCTTCAACAAATTAAAACTAGAACTACCATATGATCCAGCAATCCCGCTTCTAGGTATATATTCTAAAATGAAATCCCTATCTCAAAGAGATATATGCACCCCCATGTTCATTGCAGGATTATTTACAATAGCCATAACATGGGAACCATCTAAGTGTCCATCAGTAGATGAATAGATAAAGAAAAAGTGATATATGTACACAAAGGAGTATTATTCAGCCAAAAAAAAAGAAACAAATCCTGTCCTTTACGACATCATGAATGGACCTTGAGGGCATTATTAGTGAAGTAATTCAGATTGAGAATGACAAATACTAAATGATTTTACTTATATATGAAATCTAAAAACGCTTTAGAAACAGATTGAAATGACAATTTTCAGGGGCTGAGGTGTGGGGGAAGTGGAGCGATGTTGGTCAAAGGGCTCAAACTTTCAGTTATGGTATGAATAAGTTCCAGGAGCTAATGTACAACATGGTGACTGTAGTTAACAATCCTGTATTGTAGACTCCAAAGTGGCTATGAGGGCAGAGGCTTAATATTTTCACCACCACCACCACAACGAAATGGTAATTATGTGAAATGAAAGATGTGCTAACTAACGTTATTGTGGTAAACACTTCACAATATATACATATATCCAATCATCATATTATCCACCTTAAATTTATACAATGTTATACGTCAGTTCTATTTCAATAAAGCTGGAAAAAATTAAAACAAGAAACCTGTTATGGAAATGGCATTCCATAAATGGTTATGAAATATAAAACGGCATATTCACCATAAGGCTAATTAAAGCTTAACCTTCAAGGCCCTTCACTTATCTGGGCCCCTTCCAAAGGACTACTATTGTGCTCACATAGTGAGATGTGTTTGTAAATTTGATAATAAGATATTTTATCTGCAAGACTTTTACTCTTTCCACCTTAACTGCCCTTTTGCTAGACTTTTCCAGGTATACTTATGTGCCTCCCAGGCTGTTCTGTGTGTGGTATTGTTAGCCTTCTTGGTGGTTTGGTGGAGGAATATCTCTACCTCAGATAATTTAAGGATATTGAAAGTAGGGCTAGACGTTTGGCTGCTGTGTGAATGATCTTTAGTCCCTAGCACAAGAAGTATGTGGGTAGTGCTGGAGAAACAATTTGAAAGATGTGCAGTCAGAACCAATCCATATGTAGAAAATTCTTCCAATCATTAGGCATGTAAAAGCTTATTAAACATAACATCCATTTAGCCATGTAAGCAAGTGTTCTGGTTCTCCTTGTCACCGAATCAAAACTAGAAGTTCTCTCCTGTCAGGAATATAATCAACAATGAAGCATATTTGGTTATAATAACACTCCAAAATAAAATTATTTTTCGTATATTTGTATATGAAAATATCAATAGATATTTCTCTATCGAGAAGTATATTGTAACACATTTTCAGACCTCATCACAAAGTCATTCATTGAGATATATTTCAAATAGAAAAGGATAAATTGAACCTAATTAAGAGTAATAACTTATATGAACACCTTAGACAAAGACTTAGTGATTTGACCACAGATATTGACATCCACAAAACAGCATGAAACTCAGCTCACTACAATGAATCATCAGTAATAAGCTTATTGAAGGTTGTCATAAAGTATTTAAGATCAACTTGCACAAGAAATTTGAAATGTCCTGAAATCTTATAGTTCACGTATGAAAGAAACTTCGTCTCAAACCTAAACTTACACATGATAAATTAGCAGTGGAGCTAAATACTTTTTCAAAACTACCCATGATAAAAAATACATTTCAACCTGTTATGCCAAAGAAATGACTGTAAATCCTCTTACTGTTTTTATAGAAAAGTGTATTTTAAAAAAGTATTTGCATTTGAAGACACTATCAGACTATGCAACCCAGAGTTGTAGGGAAAGATATGGAAGAAGATGTCAGGCAGTTAATTCATTAAAATGTTAATACTGCTTTGCTAGATTCTGTGATAATGGTATTTGTCAACTTATAAAAAAATTATAATTGGTTGTGATCTTTTTTCTCATTTCCTATCTGATTTTGTATTTTAATTATTTTTCTTAAAGTTTCTGCAAATTGTAATAGTTTCAGGCTTCATGAAACCTGGATCTGCCTCACTTCCAACTAATACAGAGTCTGCTGCTTGATTTTTAATGTTGAAGAAATTACAAAAATTTTCAAAGCCAGGCTCTCATCTTCTCTGAGAATAATGAATACTGTCTGCCTAGATAACCCATAGGGCTTTGGGTTATAAAAGACAGACAGGGGGAGAAAGGGAGGGGAAGGAAAGGGGATCGAGAGAAAGAGAAAATACATGAGAGAGAAATTTTAAACTGCAAAGCAATGTACATGAGCAAAATGCAAAGTGATCTCTATGACCTATTTCTATAGTATGTGACCTACTCCTGTCTCTTCTTAGCATATAGCTCATCATTTTACTTTTTTGTTGATCGTTTGGCATTGCGATTTTGAATGTGTAAACTACGTAGACTGACTCTCCCTTCAGCATCCATTAATCTTCAAGTGTTAGGAAAATACCCCCCTCCCCCACCACCACCACCATGTTTAAGTCACTGTCCTTATAGTTTTGGAGGCAGCTGAAAACCATTTCAAAGTGGTATGAACTTTGGGAAGGAGTTTAAGAATTTTGGTGACCCCTTTTAAATGTCCTCATTCTACATCCATTTGTTTTCCTCTTCTAATGGAAAGTAATGCACGCTATCGTCTATTTTTCCAAGGTACAACATGGGACAGGTCAACGAAATTTTATGTCATGCTGATTAAGAGTTTCCAGTTTTCTGTTTTCAGTATCTGTGGCTTCACTGCTCAAAGCCTACCTTCAGCAGCCCAGTGCCACATTTGAGACTGCAGCACCCCATTTCAAGGTACCAAATTCTACTTAGGTCAAGGTTCTTGGTCTCAAACAGAATTCTAGCTAGTTTAAGTGGAAAGAGATTTATTGAAGGATACTAGTAGCTCCCAGAATCTTGGGAGAGCCACAGAACCAGTTTTGGTTTTCAGTCAAAAACTAACAAACAAAATAAAATAATCAAGCAAAAAAGCAGTGGTTTCAAATGATTCATGAATGGATAGAAAAGATGTGGTATATCCACAATGGAATAATACTCAGCCATAAAAAAGAATGGAATCTTGCCATTCATGACACATGGGTGGGCCTAGAGGGTATAATGCTAAGTGAAATAAGCCAGACGGAAACTAATACCATATGATTTCACTTATATCTGGGAGCAAAACAAACAAACAAATGAAGAAACAACAAAAGAGAGAAACAGACTTATAAATATAGAGAACAAACTGGTGGTTGTTGCCAAAGGGGAAGGGGTGAGGGATGATAATGGGTGAGGGGATGAAGAGATAACACATTTACAGTTATAAAACAAGTAAGTTACATGAATGAAAACTACAGCATAGGAAAGGAATATAGTCAATAACATTGTAATATTCTTATCATGGTGAGCATTTCATAATGTATATGATTGTTGAATCACTATGCTGGACACTTGAAACTAATTTAATATGTTATATGAGCAATACTTAGGTTAAAAAGAAAGAAGAAAAACAGTAGTACTAGGAGCCTGTAGTGCTCCAGGCAGGTAGAGTACTATGTGGCAGAGTCTACTTAATTGTGTCAGAGGAACCGCTTGGCCACACCACTGTGCTCTCCATAAGAGACATGCTCCTGGCATGCAGTGGCCGCCTCTCATTGCTCATTTCTCATCCAAGTCCTGGCTAGATGCCTCAGCTTGCCAGGAACTTAGGCCACCTGCCTGCACTCAAGTGCAAAGAGACTAGGGAATGTTGGTGTCGGAATGAGGGAGAGGGAGCCAACCTGCAGGCTGCCAGTTTCCTGCTTCTTTACAAATTCATTGTGAGAATTCAGGCAAGGTATTTAACCTCTCTACTAATCCATCTTCCTAATACTTAATGTGGGGATTTTGGACGCCATGAAATCCAAGAATCCTTACGGTAATACAAATCTGTCCCTGCACTAGTTAGAACTCTGGCTTCTAGTGACTGAACTCTGACATGCACTAGTGAAGGTGAGTCCATGGTATTGGCTCTTGTAACCTAATTGTGGGAAGGGTAAGGGTGTAGTTAGCTTTAGGGCTGTCTGTCTCATTGGACCTCTTGCTTGCCCCCCTCTCTGTGTCTGTGTGTTGTTTTCTGAAGACCAGTTTCTTTGGGAAGCTGGAGAAGTGGCCAAGGCTTGTATCCAAACTATTCTGAAGTCATAAAGGAAAAGAACTCTTCTCCCAGAATCAGATTTTAGGTCCAGAAGGCCTTTTTAATTAGCCAGGCTTAGTTTCTGTGCCGACTCCTGTGGCCAGAGGAGTGGAGTCTTTAACCAGAGAAGACATGTCACACAGGTATGGCCACCAGAGAATTTGACCTGAGGCAGTCTGGCACCCAATGTGACCAGGACAGATGCTAAGAGCTAGTGTGCCACAATATGTGACATGGGATTTCTTCATTTGTTTTCATTTCAGATACTTCAAATGAAATAAACTTCAGTTATTTTGTGAATCTGCATGTTGTATGGGGCTGTTAAGCCCCATACTAATACCACATATGACTCAGCTCCTGTGTTCAGGGAGCTTAAAATTTAATGGTAGGGATAACAGCAATACAGGCACATGGAGTCCTAACTGTAAACAAACAAGATCATGGTTTTAGGGAAAGATCTGAATCCTCAAACAGATGAATATAGAAGTTGAAGTTCACATGGAGAACAGTTTTGCCAGCCATTTGACCCAAATCATATTCCCAAGCCGAATACAATTGATATTTGTATTTTAAGATCAAATGATCTTAATGATCAAAACATCATAGGTAAAAGAGAAAATGGATGTTTTTTTCTTCAACTTTTGGCCTTTATCTTTTTTTCTTGGATGTTGCCTATGTTGGTACATAGACAGCCTTTTCTTTTGAAAAGTCACATTATTGTACCGAAATGTATTTTGCCTTTAGCAATAAAGGTGATAGTATGGTTCTTTGGTCTTGTATTTTCTGAACATAGCTTGCTTGTAGAAAAGAAAAAAAAAGTCTATTTTCTTCTTAGACTCAAGGAATAGTTAGCTCTCTCTAAAATTTATCTGTACTGTATTTTGCATATTAAATTATAGAATGTTGACAATTAGATTGTTGAAAAAGTGTGAAAAGTTGCAGTCAGTCTGTGTTTTGGTTCATCAAACAAATGAACTTGGTTTTATAATCTGAAGCACATGCATATTAAGTAGATAAAAGTAATTGCAGTAAATCCTGGCAATAATCCGGATGTTTCAATAATGTCACATTGTTAATTCTGAGTTTACTTGTAACACTGTTGCATAAGGGTCTTACTTTTAAATTTTTAGTCTGGTTGGCCTCTGCTTCTCTGATGATTAATTGAATTGATTAGATTTCATTTAATTAGATTGTATACTTTAATGTCATATGAAAGCATTTTTGAATGCATTTTGTACCCTTTTCATTATGGGCAATCTGTATAGATTTAGGCAGTGGTTTATATATGCTGTTTATTTCTTTCTTGAAATTTTTATTGTAATAGGCAGTAACCAATGTGTATACTTCATGATGACATAGGATCACTTCTTGCATTATAAGGTAGATGGCCCTTAAAACTAAATGGCAATCTTTAACATTCCAGGGATTTAACCCACAATTTTTGATGAATACCAATGCTATAAAAGAAATGTTGTCTTGGTGTAAATCAAAATCAAAATCTTGGCATTACAATCTAATTGAGAAGTTTGTGTTCTCATGGAGCAGAAAAAAACAACGACAGAGAGAGGTTGAGGCACCTGGGTGGCTCATTCAGTCAAGCATCCAACTCTTGGTTTTGGCTCAGGTCTCGATCTCAGGGTTTGTGAGTTCGAGGCCTGAATTGGACTCGGTGCTGACAGTGCAGAGCCTACTTGGGATTCTCTCTCTCTCTCTCTCTCTCTCTCCCTCTCTCTCTCTCTCTCTCTGTCGCACGCTCTCTCTCTCTCTCTCTCTCTGTCGCACGCTCTCTCTCTCTCTCTCTCTCTGCTCTTCTCATGCTCATGTGAGCTCTCTCTCTCAAAATAAATAAATAAGCTTAAAATAAACAAAAACAGAGGCACCTAGGTGACTCAGTCGGTTAAGTGTCCGACTTTAGCTCAGGACATGATCTCAACAGTTTGTGCGTTCAAGCCCCGCATCGGGCTCTGTGCTGACAGCTCAGAGCCTGGAGCTTGCTTTGGATACTGTGTCCCTCTCTCTCTCCCCTTCCCTTGCTTGCGCTCCGTTTCTCTCTGTCTCTCAAAAATAAATAAAACATTTATTAAAAAAACACAAAAACAATGATAGTGAGGAGTATAGGATGTTGTGGAAACATACAGCAGGAGCCCCCACCCCAGTCTAAGCATATCAGAGCAGTGGCAACTTAAACTGAGAATCAAAAGATTCCTAGGAATGATACTTAGCCTTGTGAAAAATATTCTAGTCTGAGGAAATAGCACGCGTGAAAGCCCTGAGGTGAAAGAGAGGTTGGGAGTTTTGGAAAAACTAAAAGAAGTTCCGTTCAGCTGCAGCACAGACATGGGGTCAGCGTAGGGAGAGGGGTTAGGAAACTGATGCCAGGAGAGGCCTAACATGGGGTAAGATTAGCAAGACTAAGCAGAATGGGTGGATCATGGACTTTGGTTGGGCTGAATTTCCAGGACTTACTGTTTAACTGGATTTGAGAAACAAGGGAGAGAAGAACGTGAAGGATCATTCTGGCTTGGATCCTGGGTAGATGGTGGTGCCACTCATAGAGGAGGACCATGGGGCAAGAAGCAGGTTTGGGGGGGGGGGGTCTGTGGGACTTTTCAAGACATCTAGGCTGCCATGAGATACTGAGAAGGCATCAGAGTATATATATATACATGTCATATATATATACATTTATATACAGAGTATATATATATATATACATATATATACATGTCATATATATATATATATATACAGAGTGTATATATATATGTATACATATATATACATGTCGACATGCAGGGGATTTACAAATGAGTATCTTTTAAAATAGGCTTACAGGGATCTGCCAGAAGAGGCAATAAAAACCAGGACGGAATGCTTTTAACAATTCAAGGAAAGAAAGTATTTCCAAAAGGCTTGAATGGTCATGGTGTCAAATGCTACATGGAGGTCAAATAAGATAAAAACTGAAAAATTCCCATTGGATTTTGCACTGAGGGTGCTGTTGGTGACCTTGGCACAAACACTTACAGTCAAGCAGCTGGGGATGAATCCAGATGTCCCGAGTTGAGGGGTGAGTAGGAAAGAAGGAAGTGGGAGATAGCGAGTGTAGACAGCTTTTTTAAGAAGAATGTTAGTGAAAGGGAGGGTAAAGATAAGGCAGTTGCTAGATGAAGATGGGAGGCTGGGGGACACTCTAATATGGAGAGGCTTGAATGTGTTAAACACTGATGATTTGGAACAATTAGTGGAGAGAGAATGGTTGAAGGGGGGTGCAGTCAATAGAGAGAGATCTCTGGGAAGGTGGAAGAGACGATGGGATGCACAGTACTGGATAAGGGGTCTCTCTTTAAAAGAGGCAGAAGAACAGGCCCATTGTCACTTAGGAATGCTTTCCATTCAGGTAACAGAACCCCAGCTGCTAGTAGTGCTTCATTGAAGCAGAGGTTTATGTTTTCTCACGTGAGAATCAATTTGAGACGCGCACATGGGCATGGTTTCTGTGTCAATGGTGTCAGCACTGACGGCTTGACGTCACCTTATTCGTCTTGGCCTTTTCCCCTTAGGCTGTGATCAAGGCAGGACAAGAGGGGGCAGAGGTGATATTGGCTGTACCTGGTCCTTTAATCAGGAAGTGTTGCCA